GGACGCGTGGACATGTTGCGTCAAGATCGCGAGTCCTCACCAAGCAACTCAGCTGGCACCACCGCAGCTTCTTTCACGACTCCCAATGGCCTGCATGTCACATGTCAGCATCCTCAGCACAGCAACAGAGGGTCTAGAATGGGTGACCCTGCGGGATTGAGCTAAAGGCCTAAAGTGAGCACAATGGCCTTGTAGACCTTCATTTTGGACATTCAACCAATTTCCCCATAAGGTGTCACAGGTTCTGCAACCCGACGGACCCAACGGGTCTAACATGAATAATGAAATGCGATCGGTGAATGGTGTAAACGCTGAGAAACCCCACACGTGCGTCTATGAAGTAAAAACCGCCGGGGGCGCTGGTCCTGGGGGCCCGTAGTGCTCCTGCAGTGCCTGCGCGGTATGGGCGACTGAGGGCACATGCAAGTCATGCCGAAACCCGTGCATCTGGCTTCGTATTTCAATGGCATGAGCTTCACGCTGTATGCGTGGAAGAGATCCGGAAGGGCAGCGATGGCAGCGCAAGAGATGCCCAAGGGCCAGGGCTAGTGACATATGTGTTTGCGTGCGTGTGTCGTAAAATGGCCAGCACAGAACCGACAAAAATGAGGAAGTCGCACGGAAGTCGCGCGGAACTAACGCTTCAAAGTTGGCGCGTGGAAGAACGGCTTGTGCATGTGAAGCTCCTCCCCCTTCAAGCATTCCAGAGAGAAGTGTTCATGTTGAAGCTTCCTCTCTGATGGCTGCAAGGAGCGCCAGTTCCAGCTCCAGGCTCCCAGGCCACAGGCTGCAAAAGTAAGCGAGGAATGGAAACCAACAACTTGTGCTTTAGATGTCCAACGGGCGCTGAAGGGCGGGGCAGTTTTCAGGAGACTTCCACTTTACATGCTGCCCGTGAGTGTCCGAGGATGGTCGACGCCAAGGCCGGACAACGGTGCTCCCAGATATGCCCAACCCATTGCCTTCAGCTGACGCATCTTGGGGCTAGCTGTGGCTTTCTAACTTCAAAGTAGCTCCGAGGTAGGGGTTGCGTGAGCGCTAGTCGGGCGCTTGTTGCAGGTCTGTAAGTGCATAGCTTTTGAATCACGGAAGAGTGATGAGTGTGCTCTCAAATTCAGGCGCCTCGGGGCTGCGAGCACTGGCTCTTGCGTCTGTGAGTTCGTAGCCCCTGCGTCGAGTCAGACTCAACTCTCGCCTCGAGCTGGCTTCGGCTATAAGTTTAGCACTCCACACCTGGTGCTGCACGTCTTCAGTTGGAAAGACTTCTTCCATCCTTGAAGCGCCATGAGTAGATTCCGACCCGGGCCACGTGCCACACGCACCGTGGAAAGTGAGTGACTAAGATTTTGCTTTGGTTCCAGCCAGGCTCTGAGAGTGTCGCAAAGAAGCGGACTTTGTCATTTAAGCCGCCCTTTGATCTCGCCTCGACTCCTGGCTTGAATCTTTGGCCAAGCTTTTAAGGTTTTACTTCGCCCGAAAGTGTGTTACCTACACCTACGAGCTCAAGACCCTACATATGAGGGCCTTAGACCCCAAATGGCCTCGTTACTTCAGGTCTTTGGCTCCTGTACAAGCCTTGAACTCTTTGCATGCTTGTTGTTGCGAGGTCTTCCAACGTCAACCAAGAAACCACCAGGCTCCAAACCACCTGGAGGGAACATGGTTGTTGTTGGGAAACATTTTCCAATTTTTGCTTATTGTGGTTTAGTGGTTGAAGTCCAAATTCAACCGCTGAACTGCGAAAACAAATGAGAATTGTTGCTCCCCAAACCCAACGTCAACCAAGTGGGGTAGGCCAAGCTTCGTCCTCGGGCTCAGTGCCACTCGCGTCCAGCCTTGATGGGCAACTGGCCCAGGCCTTGGGTAGCGATGTGCGATGTTCGGAGCCCGTGGGACAGCTGTAGTGCTAAACGCATCTGGCCAGGGGCCAAAGCCCAAAATTCCGTACCCCCAGTGAACATCCGATTCAATCCAACCACTAAAATAGGAAGCCCAAAATGGGTGGTGCACCGAAAACCCCCAAAACGGGATCCCATTGGTTTTGACCCACAGCCATCTCTAAAGCTCCCTCACTTGGTACAAGGAGCGAAGTTTACTGATAGTTTGGTTTCATAATCAAGCTGCCCAACCAGCTTCAACTGATTTTGGCTCTTTTTGCACGTCCGCCTGCCATTCTCATGCACACACACACGTGGGTATGCAAAGGGTATCCGCGTATCCGCGCAACGTCTCTTGCCCATCCTTTTGCATCCCCTGTGCCCCTGAACACGCGGGCTTGAGCAGCACAAGCTCGCGAACGTGGAGCAGCTAAACGTAGCCAAAGTTCACACGATTCATCCTTCGTCTTTGACGGGGGCGCCGTGTTCCTGACGCGAGGAGTTGTCGCTTGTGAACTTTGCCTTAGGGTTTCAGGTTCTGAGGCAAGCTATTGTTTGCTGCCAGTCTGAAAAATGGTCGCCTCAGAACAATAGGTTGTATCGCGAGTGTCGCGAGTGAATATGGTGTCTATTCAGAGCCGGGGTGCCATGCCCCCAATTGTTCTAAGGTTCTAAGTAGGACTGAGCGCCCTAAGCCCGGAAGATGCGTGCCAAAGCGCCTTTTTGCGCACCTGCGCCCAGCCCTTGGCCTGGGTGCTATTCGATGCATCACGAAGCCGGCTTTCTGCGTGCCAGCTTAGAGCTTGCTAACAAGCGGCCTGATCACTTGTTTGGGACTTGTGCTTGCAGGGCGAAGTCGTGAAGAATTGGCTGTTCGCGCAGTCAGAGCTGTCAGGCCCTTGCGTTGTGGAAAGTTTTGGGCAAATGCTGCGGAGAATACACGCTTGCGCCTTGCCCGAAAATCTGAAGACGCGCGTGGACGCACCATGTCTGCAAACCGAGTGCGTACGAGGCACGCCCTACGCCCAAGCCTTTGCCTTGGGCGGAAGCTGAGGCATCTTGGAGCTAATGGCTAAGGGCCGCTTGCAAGCTGGCACTGAGCTGGGCTGTTCAAAGGCAATCCTCAATCCTTACCTGGGGTTACGCAAGGAACCGGTTCCCTGCGTAGTGGCTTTCCTATAGGGATTATGGATTAGGATTGGCCAACCCTCCATTTTGAACAGCCCAAGCAGGTTCATGTTGCAGGGCTGGGGATGAATTGAGTAGCTCTTGACCACCCACGCTCTTTGGCACTAGCTTGCATCATGAAACAGGAGCAATTGCTGAGCTCAAATGCAGGCTGGATGCATGTCAAGGCACGTGTGTCATGAGTAAGCAAGCAAAAGGCGCAGCGAGACGCCGCCAGCCTATTGACCTAAGAGCTCAGGGTCTTGCATCTGTCTCAAGCTGGCTCCGGCTGTGCTAAATTCATCTTCCGGCGTTCACCTTTCTATACTTGCCGGAGCCAAAGGCTTGAGCACGTTGGAGGCACTCCGCTTTCAAAAGCCAGCTCTGGCGCTTGCATCACGGGATTTTTGAGCCATTGTTTTAGAGACTAAGTGTATTGTGGTGCACAAGCGAAGGCTGCTGGATTCTTTTGAGGACAGGGGTGTGTGTCGAATCACGTCGCTGAATGAGCAAAGCCAGACGCCCCCAGCCCTTTGCGCATTGCTGCCTCGGGCAGGCGGTGTAAGCAGCCGGCTGCCCCCCAGATGAGCTCTGGCTTGTGGGTCCGTTCTAAAATGGGCATGATGCAGATTGTGCAAAGCGTGCCAGCGAAGCACGACTCCGTGAGCACCTCAGATACTTGGAGCGGGCCAGAATCCTTCAATGAGTAGCTTCTGACCACCCCGCGGTGAATGCGCGAAGTTGAGCGACTTTATGTCCGACGCGGTCCTCAGCTTGCGCAGCTGAGTTCCGTGTCCCGTCGGAGGCTCGCTTTGGCGGAGGTTCAAACCTCGGCGGCTTGCCACGCGGGCCTTTGTCTTCCAACCCGCAAAAGAAAGGTCAACTTGATGTTGCTCTTGGCTTCAAGCGGAACATCGGCCAGAGGCCTTTTCCGGTTGCCTGGAAGCTCAAGGTTGGAGTTTCTCCCCACTCCACATTTGAGTTTCATGCTCAGTGCTCGTTTCGGCCGCAAGGGTGATATTCTAGGCCTCCCAGCTAGGTGCCCTTCTCTCCCCTTTTTTGGGGGAGGGTTCCCCTCCTAAAGTCGACTACAGAAAAAAGGGTACCCTTATTCTAACCTCTCTACTGGAGGACTTAGTTTCGAATCCGCCTCAACTCCTGCCTATGCCATCTTCGATGTACGCCTGGATCGGATTATTACATGGCGGCCTTGTGAGATTCTCCCCAAACCCAATGGTTTGAGAAGAAAACATCTTAGCCAAAGCAGCGCAGGAAGAACAACTTCCTGCCTCCCGCGCGAGCGCCTTGGGCGCCTGCGCGGTCTTTCACTACTCAAGCTGTTTCCTCACCTCCCGGTGACAATGCGGGGCAGGAAACACAAATGCATCAAATGCAGTTACAGCCTTGCTTCAGCCTCGACTAGGGCTTCTGGAAGTCGGAAGTCGGTTTCAACAAGTATGACGCTTTGTCAACACAATGTCTGAGATCGCGTTCCGGACTTTCTGCTGTTTAAGGACGCGTGGACAAGGATGCTTGCAAGCTGCATCGTGTTGGATTGGCGTTTGTGCTTGCCGATCAGGATGCAGAGTCCCCGATCACTTTCCGGACGATTCCCAGTACGTGAACTTGATCCCAAGGAGATGCTTCCGATTCAGCGTCCAACATGCGCGTCAAAAGCGCGGAGTCTTGAGCGCTCAACGAGACTGTGGGGCCCGGAACCGCATGCTGGTGTGCCTTTTCGCTTTTAGGGCATCCCCCTTTTTGGTGGTTCCGCCACAGTGCTCAAGACCCCACCCCCCCCAATTGGAGTGAGTGGAGCCCACATCCTGGCCGAAGCCAAAAATCAGGCCGTCCCACGAAGGGGAAGGGCGTCCCCTTTTTGGTGGTGGTTTTTTTTGGAACAGGAAGAAGGCTTTTTTTTTGGAGGGCTCCAAGCTGGAGCCATGCGAGCGCCAGGTGCAGATGATCTCCGCGGAGGCGGCTCTCTTTGATCTTCTTGGATCTTCTTGGCGGTTCAGCCAGCCCTCCGATTCCTTTTGTTTTTTTTTGGTTGTGGGTTTCCGTATTTAAACCGCAAGTTAAAAACTGGTTTTTTGAACGGTTTCCGTGAACAGACTTTTTGTTTGAAGGGGACCCAATTTGGAGGATGACAATCCTGAACGGCAAGCCATGGTGGCAAATATGAATTCCCGTTGTTTTAGTGGTGGGAACTGAACCCCAGGGTCGAGAGATGCCCTACACTGTGGGATAGAAAATGGCTCGAAGCCGCAGGCCGCCCTTTGTCGAGGGCCGTTCAATCATTGGAACTGGTTGGGGTGCTAAACCAAATTTATGATACTGTGGATGGATATCCATTTCGCACCACCGGATAATCGTGGTTTGTCCCGTTTGTCATCCATCCCAGGATGGCGAAATGGATTTTGTCCGTCCGCAGTAGGGGGTCGCTTTGATGCAGTGTTTGCTGAAATGCGTTGAACCCTCTTCGTTGCCTTCTTTTGAAACAGGCATCGGCAAACAGATTTGGTACACCTCTCCTACCCAAATGCAAGCCGTGAATCGATCCCGGCCTGGTTGGCCACGGGCCCCTGGATTTTCTTAGCCTGACCTTTTGGCCACTGTCAGATGAATTTCCTCGGAATTTTGGGTGGCAACAACAGAATGTTGGTTTTTGAGGTTTTTTTGAGGGTACACATGAAAGGACTCCATCCAGTTTGTAGGGGACCCCACAATGCTTCCAATATATATATATATATACACATTGACATATTGTGGGGTAAACACATATGAGGCTGTCCGGTCCTTTTTCGCCCTGTCTTTTCTTTGGTTGGTCGTTTAACAGCTACCCTTGGTTGGTTTTAAAGGGAACGACCCTTCTTGGTTGGTTTTAAAGGGAAACCACAAGAACAAGCGAACAGCACCATTTGAGCCACGATCAAAACCCGGGTAGATGACGGTTTATCAGGGACAATCCCAACCACAAATAGCTGTGGCCGCCTTCCTAATTCTTCACATGGTTCTGGATGACCATTTTACTACCAGGTTTTGACTATGCCTCATCTCGGGGGTTCCAACCAAAAAAAGACCAGCCGCCCAAATGAAACCTTGGCCAAGGCGGACGGGGGCTCCGCGCCCTCCGTTCTCAGGCGGGGGGTTTGCAAACGACGGGAACCAGCGATCCAGCTCAATGTCCAGGACCCTGACAAAGGGTTTACCTGAAGTCACTTTTCTTCCATTTGCTTCAGATGATTTGTTATTTTCTCTTGTTGTTTTTGAAGGCAATCTATCACTACTGGGAATATGTTTTTATAGGTGGCTTAAGCAATGGAAGTTTTAGTCATGTCTAGTCACTTAGCGTGTTACTCTTACATAAGTCCTTTTCAGTCACTGTTTAGTCAGTATTTAAGTCGCTTTTAGTCACTTTTTATCACTTTAGTCACTTTTAGTCACGTTTAATCGCTTTCAGTCTCTTTTTGGCACTTGTAGTCAACTCAGTTCCTGCACTGAGTCACTGTTTGGCTTAGTTGCAAATGTTTCAAATGTTTGGACGTTGCTGGCCACTCAGGAAGAAAGGCTACCCTTTAGAACCTGGGTATGCCATGTTTTGGGGATTGCGTTAAAGGCTTTCCTCGTTCCAATCATGAAAGTTGACCAGCATGCTTTCGGCAGTGGGCGGAGGCTCCGAGGCGGTCCGAGTTAACTCGCCTTGCAAGCCGCAAGGAAGTCGGCGTGCCATGCATCTGCCTTCACAACGAACCCAATAGCTACTTCATTCTTTTGAAACGTCCGCCCGGCTTCTCTGGCCTTGCAGACGGGTTTTAGATTTTTGGCATGGCCATTTCCAATAGGTTTTCCAACAAGTGTAATGACTATCCCTTAATGAAGACCCACCCTTGTTTCACTACACAGAAATACATGCGGCTTCCAACAGAGGGAGGTCCAACTATTCTTCAGGGTTTTCAAGAGTATGGCTGTGGGTCAAAACCATTGGGATCCCATTTTTGGGGCCTGGTGCACCCATTCTAGAACCTATTTTAGTGGTTGGATTGGGATGTTCACTGGGGGGAAAACCGGAATTTCGGGTTTTGACCCATGGCCATATGTCCGACTCAACGTAAGCCCTAGATGAACGATCCTCGGCCTCGCGCCAGGCAAGCCATGTTCTGCCCGGAAGACTTGGAGAACATGGGCATGAGCGATCTCAAGGAGAGCGATTAAAAGGGTGTGGCTCAAAATTAAGCAGGAGGGGCAAACCGCAGGTTTTGGTCCATGTTTCCACTTACCAAGGTTCCATGTTGGTACCGGCTTTTTGACCGCCATATTTATGTGTGAATGGAGACCCCCAAAATGGTGGCTGTCCTTTCGGAGTTCCTTCAGACACTTTTGACCAAGGTGAACAGGGTGACACACGCACACGCAACACAGACAAAGCAAAAACAGACAACAACAAACAAACAAACAAACAAACAAACAAACAAAGAAACAAAGAAAGAAAGAAAGAAAGAAAGAAAGAAACAAACAAACAAACAAACAAGCAAACAAAGAAAGAAAGAAAAACAAACAAACAAGCAAGCAAGCAAACACAAACAAACAAACACACAGAGAGAGAGAGAGAGAGACACCGGCGCACGCACACGGACACAGACACAACGAAAAACACATGCGCAAAGACACAAACACACAAACAAACAAACAAACAAACAAACAAACAAACAAACAAGCAAGCAAGCAAGCAAGCAAGCAAGCAAGCAAGCAAGCAAACAAACAAACAAACAAACAAACACACAGAGAAAGAGAGAGAGAGAGAGAGACACCGGCGCACGCACACGGACACGCACACAACGAAAAACACATGCGCAAAGACACAAACACACACACAAACACACAAACACAAACTGACACACACACACACAGTCACACACAATCACACACACAATCAAACAATCACACAATCACACAATCACACAATCACACACACACAAACACACCCGTTCAACCACGCACACAGTTACACAAACAAACAAACAAACAAACAGCAATCAGTCAAACAAACACACAAACACACAACCAAACAAACAAACAAGCAGACAAACAACATCCAAACAACCAACAAACCAAGCAAAGAACACCACCAAACAAACAAACAAACAATCAGACGGACTGAGCAACCAACCAAGCACACCCACCCACACAAACAAGCAAACAAACAAACAAGCAAATAAGCAGACAAGCAAACAGACAAACAATCAATCAAACAACCAAGCAACCACTCAAACAAACAAACACACACACATAAACAATCAATCAAGCAAACAACCAAACAACCAAACAAGCAAGCCAAGCAACACAATCAAACAAACAAACAAACAAACAAACAAACAAGAAACAAACAAACAAACAAGCAAACAAACAAACAAAAACAAACAATCAAACAAACAAACAGACAAACAAACAAACAAACAAGCAAACACGCACACACCAACAAACAAGATAGCAAGCAATCAAGCAAGCAAACAAACAAACAAACAAACAATCAAAGAACCAAACAGGCCGACCGACGACAGGCAGACCGGCAGACAGAGACAAGCAGGTAGGCAAGCAGACAGACAGACAAGCAGACAAAAAAGTCCAAACAAACAAGCAATCAGACGGACCGAACAATCAAACAAACAACACACAAACAATCAAACAAACGAGCAACACAAACAAACAAACCCGCACACACAAGCAAAACAGACAGACACATGAACAACCAAGAAGCAAACACACAAACATACAAACAAACACAATTAACTAAACAAACCAACAATCAAGCTAACAACCAAACAAACAATTGTAAACAAACAAACAAACAAACAAACAAACAAACAATCAAACAATCAAACATTCACACACACACACACAAACACTTAAACACACAAACAAACAATCAAACAACCAGACAGCCAAACACCCAAAGCCATAAACATTCAATCAATCAAACAAGCACTCAAAGCAAGCACACAAACAACCAAACAACGAAACAACCAAGCAGACAGACAGACAGACAGCCAGCCAGACAGACAGACAGACAGACAGACAGACAGACCAGAGGCAGAAAGGCAGACAGGCAGACAGGCAGACAGGCAGACAGGCAGACAAGCAGACAGACAAGCAGACAAACAAGCAGACAAACAAACAATCAAACAAAAACGACATACAAACAAATAAACAAATACACAGACAAACAAACAATCAGACGGACCGATCAATCAAACAAACAAACACGCAACAAAAACAAGCAAGCAAACAAACAAACAATCAGACGGACCGAACAATCAAACAAACAAATACACAAACAACCAACCAACCAACCAAACAACCAAACAAACACAAACAAACAAACAAACAAACCAACAAACCAACACACCAACGAACAACCCAACAAACAAACACACAAACACACAAGCAAGCAAGCAAACAATCAAGCAAGCAAGCAAACAATCAAACAACCAATACGAAGACAAATTCAAAGACAAACACAAACACACAAACAAGAGCGCGCGCGCACACACACACACACACACACACGCTTCCTTCGAAGTGATTTGAAGCCTGGCTTGCTTGAAAGGCCAACTTGATTTGGGGAGAGATGTTTCAGTCTTTCACCTCCACCTTTGGCTTGTTGTGGCTATGAGCCATGAAATTCGAATCAGAAATCGAGGTGGAAATCGAGGCTGGCGATGTCAAAGACTTACCCTCCCACCAACTAACATGGTTTGTGCAAAAAGGCCCTTTCCAAGAGGAAAGTCGTGCTTGTACAGGGGTCTGTGCACTTCCATGTTCGCCGGTGGGAGGGCGGTTGAAGGGCGCCTTTCAGGCAAGGTTCTCCCCAGCTACCCTGTGAAAGCCTGGTGGGGAAATCGCGCGGCGCATCAGAGCCCCAGAAAACTCCACGAAATCCATCCTTTGCGAGGGGAATGTTTGGGCTATGGGTATTTCATTACTTGCAATACTGACTCAGAACCACAAGGGTAGACTAGGCTGCACCGGCTCCCCTATGGCTAATCAGTATCAGATCATTCTTAGAGCCAGGTTGGACAACTTCCCAAAGAAGCTTGTCACCTCAAAAGGGCCGTGTTTGAGGTCTCACACCTTTCTCTTCAATGGAGAGTCCAATTTGGAGTCTCTTCCCCAGATTGGAAGATTCAGACACCTGTGAAGGGAAGGGTCGCCGTTGGAAGGGTTTGGCAAAAAGGGGGTGCCTTGTACCAGTTCTTGGGCAGTTTCCTAGAATGGGTTGCATCCCCACAACGGCCATTTTGAGGTCACCAGAATCCAGATTCTTAGGGCAGCTCATTTAGCTCGCCGCCTGTCAGTTAGTTTTGTTCTGGTTTACGAACTTGTCCGGAGGGGAGATGCTGTTCGCTGATAGGATTCGGAAAATTGCCAAAGAAAAAAGGTGGGAGCCCCAGCTCGCTAGCTTCTACCCCTTCCTGCGTGTCAAATGACGCACCGCGGTGTTTGTTGTCTTCAGCCCAGCAATCGCCAGGCGATCATGGAAAGGCTCGCCGTGAGAGGCTCCAAATCGGACGACAAGGTGCCCCGATCGCTCAAGCTTTCTTGAAACAAACCTTTATTAGGGGATGGTCAGTAGAAATGCTTCACCACCACAAGGGTCAAAGTAGTGACACGGTTGGGCCACCTTGGTACCTGTTTTGGCGGCTGGGGGGGAAGGGGGGAGGCCAAATAAGCCCTTGTTGAGCAGCCTCTAATAAGGCCTTATTTCGGGCTTATTGGGGCTCCCTCCCCCCCCCTCCCAGACTGCTGGCATTGTTGGATTTGATGCTGCTGTTGGTGGGGCCCCAAGAGTCTTGGCGCTGCTTAGTTGCTATTTGGCAGGATGAACAACACCCGGAACGGTCATTCCCTACTGAGCACCAGCAAGATGATGGGTCCCCTTCCCTTTCGGACATGAGGGACGCGAACTGGAACTGGGCTGGCCCCAAGCATTGTGGCTATTGGTCCAGCAAATGTGAAAAACAAATTGCCGAAAGGGACAATGGGTTGGTTAGTGCGGGTCACTCCATTTCTCATTCCTTGGCTATCAAGCAGGCAAGTAGTGTTGAAATCCCACTGGTTGCAGCTGGGCAAAACTCCAACCCCTTTGCACTTCACGAGCTCGTCATGGACGACAAGCGACATCTCCTGGAAGCTGTCCAATGGCAAGGCCCAATTTCGAGTACATGCTTGAGAGGTGGAATAACTCTCTCCTCAACATCGAGTGTCACCTCGAAGACTTGAAAGACGATGGGATCGCGTGACGTGCGCAGCAGCTCGCGTGGTTCAGCCATGAAAACAGGTTCAACCCGACTGGCCTGGACAAATTGAAGCTTGTGGAAACTCGACTGGGCCCTGGTTGCGCGTGAGCACTTACATCCACTTTGTTCCTCGCCAATCCCCCTTTTCCTCAGGCAGGTTTTTGCTACCCAGCCCCCTCACTCACCCCAGATTCCAACGGAGCCTGTGAAATTGATCGGGGTGTTGCCCCAAAAAGTGATCCTCACTAGATTATTGGTGCGATTTGCTCTTGACAGGTTTCCCTCGACTGCCAGAAAAGCAGGCTTCGTTGCTCCGTTTAATACGTTCCTCAATTATGTTGCTTTCTTTCAACGAGGTCCTAATCTGGTTGGTCGGGATGTAATCAGTGTTGCCTTTCCGGACAAACGCAAGCACTGGCTGGACTTTCTTGTGCCAAGCCGGCCAACGTTGCCCACGCGTTTGTTTTTGCTGTGGCGCTTCCCTTAGGGCGTGGAACCAAGGGCAAATCATACTGTGGGCGGACCAAATCGATAAAGCGCACCACCTAAGAATCCCTGACATGCTTCGATTTCTTTGTAAATACCAACAAACAATGGTTTCAACCATGGTTTCCAAGTGGTGCGAAATGGATTTCGTCCACCCACAGTATTCCAGACTTGTCTTTGCATTTCCCTCAAACACCAAGGCGGAGTCAAGCAAGGGATCAGTTCGCTTGAATGGCCCGACCTGGGCTTTTGCCAGTTGCTTCACCCCGTCTTACCCAACAAGGGACAGCTAACAAACCCTCACCCCCGAGTAGTATTGGTCCCCCCACAAAAGACTGTTTCTCCACCCCAACTTCCTGAATGTCCCATTAAACCAATGAAACCATAAGTTGCAAAAATAACTTCCCAATGTTGACTCATAAACCAATTCTAAACAACATGTCCCACGGGGGGTAGGGGTTAAACAAACCAAAGGCCACCTGCGGCTCGTTTCCCTTTGGAAGTGCTCCAACTCATTCCTTGAGTCAAACATCACCTTGCCTTTTGGCGATGTCCTTTTCGATGTACTTTTCCTTTACTTGGTTCCCCTTTACTGGCGGTTTTTAGCCGTTTTCTTAGGCCTTGTACGTGTTTAGGGTTTAGTGGGGATTTCTGTTGAACCCACTAAAAGTTAGTCACTTTAGCAGCTGGTCTGAAAACGGACAGCCCAGATGTCCTTTCCCAGCAAAGCAGTCCTTGCCTTTTGCAGGTCGACTCGATTGCCAGGCTGAGCTGATCCGGCGTTTCCACGAGGAGGGCCTGGTCTTTTGCGAAGCCGAGGCGGAATTGGACGTGCGTTTGACATGCCTTTCACGCAACGAAAGGCGCGTTCCAATTGCTCTGTCCCTTTCTTTTTTTGGAGGGTACGCCTTTTTTGTGTGGTTTCAACAGCACAAAGAACACCGTCGAGCCTTTCAAGGCTTTGGGTCCACATGTCTTGGATCCCAAAAAAAAATGTCCACGAGTCACGAGGACTGGCGCCGGTTGGTCAAGGAATGTGGTGAGCGGTTACAGATGGATGCCCCATGATGGTTGTCTCGAAGGGGAGCCCCGAAGTCGTTTCCGCGGTATCCTGTTGGTGTTTCTAGACTAACCAAAAGGGGCTTCCCTAAAATACGACAGACAAACATAATTATTGCAAGCTCGCAAGCTCAATGGCCGCAGAACGGGCACCCACCTATGGCTCAGGGGGGGGGGTGCCGCTTAGCTTCTGGGTTGTCCAATGGGCTTGATGTGAATGGACCAGAAGCCATCGGCTCACCGAGAAGTCGCCCCCATTCTAATGTTGACCCCATTCTAATGTTTATTGGTGGGGGTTCCTGGGTTAAGTGGGGAATCATCACTTTTGGAGGGGAACGCCCCCATGAATAAACTGGGGTTGATTAATATTGGGTCAACATTAGGCTGAATATGTCCCGCCGAATGTCACCAGCGGTCACCAAAAGGGAAGCAGCTCATTTTGGAGCAAGGCAAAGCAACAACAACAGAAGTGTGAACATAGATGGACTCCCTTCAGCGGTGCCCGTTTTCCGTTATTAGTTGTTTGTTTTGTTTTTAATGAAGGGTGTCCCTTTAAAGTCAACCAAAACAGGATGCCGACTCTTTTTTTCCCACGGAAATCCCCACGGGGCATCTGAGAAAATGGGAATGGGAATCCTCCCGCCCCAGAGCCTCCCGCCCGCCCTCCCGCCATGTTCCAAGGCTCCAAGAGCCTTAGATCCGGGCATTAGCTCGGCAACCGAAAAGCGGTTTTCATTCACAAGATGCAATGACCAAGTACCAGTAGCAAGTGCCCGGTTCGCATAGTTGCAACCTAGCTTTCTAGGTGGAGGACTAGTTGTGACTATAAGAGCGATAATAGTATTAATCATGATAACAATCATGATAATAATGATAATAAAAAGTAAGGACAATCAAAATAGTGATAATACAAATAAAAACGATAATAATAATAACATATATACCAGGTTTCCACTATAGTTAGGGAGGTTGAACATCCAAGTTAGGGCTTCCAAGCTCTCCACTGGAGACCCCGTCCCCTTTGCTCCGCCAAAAGGCTGCGCGGCGACGGCAGGCGGCGCAGAAGATGCAGGCGAGGCATGCCCCGTGGCTTGCCTTGCGTTGCTTGTTTGTTTACGTTGCACCTGCGTTTGCTTTGGCTGGTTTATATGCTTCTTTGTTTCTATGCGTCTTTGTTTGCTTGTTTGCTTTGCTTGTTTGTTTGCTATTTGTTGTGGTTGCTTGTTTGTTTGTTTGCTTGCTTGCTTGCTTGCTTGGCTTGCTTGCTTGCTTGTTTGTTTGTTTGTTTGTTTGTTTGTTTGTTTCTTTGTTTCTTTGTTTCTGTGATCGTTTGTTGTTTGTTTGTTTGTTTCTTTGTTTCTTTGTTTGTTTGTTGGTTGGTTGGTTTGTTTGATAGTCTACTTGTTTGTTTTGTTTTTGTTTATGTTTTCGTTTGTTTGGTTGGTCACACTTGCCCAAAGCCGACCTTCTGGTTTTCCCGGTTTGGCCCACATTTTGTCAAGGTTCCAAAGGTGATCACCTTTTGTATTTGTGGGTCCCTAAGGGGCAACTTCTAGGGTTGATTCCCCATTCTTTTCAGCCATCGTTCTTTTCAACAATCAGCAATTTCTCCAGGGTTTTGAGTGGCTTTCTAGAAAGATCCGGATCCCTGAAAAGAATGCAAATGGAAGTTACCCCTAGACAACTGAGTGGTTGGTTCGTTGGTTGCCGCTTGGCTTTTCGCCTTGGGGTCAGGCGCTCCGCTCGCCTCAGGCCGAAACCGCCGCGCCCGCCGGCACTGGTGCCGCCGCGCCGGCGGCCAGAGCCGACACGGGGCCGCCGCTGGCGCAGCGCAGCGGCGCCGGCGGAAAGTTTGCGGCGCTGTCGAGTCGCCGGTTTAGGGGCAACAAAACGTCGGTTTCGGGTTTGGTTTCTGGGGATGTTTGCTTGGCTTGGGTTTTGTGGATTTGTTCTTTTTGTTTGTGCAGAAATCGGCAGAAATCTAGTTTCTTTTGGAGGTTCTTTTTCGGGTTTTGGTTTTCGGCTGCCGTCGACGTCGGTTTCGCTTTTGGGAGTTGTTTTTTGGGAGCCTGGGCTCAAGGGGCTTTCCAGAGAGCCAGGCGGACCATGCCCACACCTTGAGGGTATGGAAGACGTGGTGGTAGTCATCAATGTGCATGGCCCCCGAGTGTCGCATGGATGGTCCCTGACGCATGGCAAGCATGCAAGTGTGCACGCCGCTTTGCCAGAGGACACGCCCAAGTGCATGCTCTTGCAAGTCCAGGTGGAAGAACAGCAGGGTTCACTTCACATCACTTGTACTGAGAGCACCCAGGTCAGAGCGTACAGCCTCGCCAAAATCCAGGACATCAAGCAGATGACCGAAGTATGCACTGGCCTAGGGTGCTTAGGACTTGGTGCTCAGCAAGCTGGTTTCCAGGTGAAGATGCAAAATGAGCTTCGACCCGCCACGTGTCAAGTTCTTAGGCAAAACAGCCAGGCAGATATCATGGAAGGGGATATCACAAATCCCGAAGTGCGCCGACAGCTAGCTTGGAAGGGCCCCCAGCATGGCACCATTGCTGCAGGCTTCAGCTGCCAACCGTTTAGTAAGCTAGGAGACCGGCAAGGAGGTAATGATGGTCGGGCGTCCACTCTCCCGGCCACTCTCGCTCTGGCTCATCTCATGCAAAGCCAAGTGATCATCCTGGAGTGCGTTGCTGAGGTTGATAGGGACCCGTGGGTGCAGGATCAACTGCAGGCCTTTGCGGCCAAACACGGGTACAGCATCTCCACCAGAGTGTTGCATCTGGGTTCCACCTGGTGCACACAGCGCACGAGATGGTGGGGAGTGTTGACACACCATGTGATTGGACGTGTCACCTTGCACCCCTTGCCACATGACCCGGACCATGTGACCGTAGGAGATGTCATGCCGACCATTGCCAGTTGGCCCATGCAAGCCCTGCAGGAGCTAGCGCTGTCTCAATATGAAGCCCGAATCTTCGAGGACGTCTTGCTTGATATTAGTAAGGTTCACTTGAGATTGGATGCCAAAATGCAGACGGCGCTCCACAGCTGGGGCAACCAGGTGTTCCATTGTCCATGTGGATGCCGAAGCAGTGGATTCACCGAACGCCGACTCCATGAAAAGGGCCTTCATACGGTCTTGTTGCCATGCAGCAACTGCAAGCCCCCTGGCGTAGAGCAAGACCAAGCGTGGTATCGGCATCTGCACCCCTCCGAGTGTGCACTGCTGTGCGGATTGTCGCCTGGACTGAACTGGAACCAACAGTACCGGTTGTCCCTGTCTCTGGTAGGACAGCTGGCATCACCCATCCAATCCCTTTGGATTAGTTCCCAGATCATGCAACGGGTGCAGCAGCTCGCAGGTGACGCGCAGTGTGATCCTGAGGCCATCCTGCGAGCATACAAGCTCGGTCTCTTGCAGCAACGGGACCAAGTGTGGGCAGGTAACACGAGCCACCTCGTGTCGCCTATGGATGTTGAACGAGCTTCCAGCTCCCAAGATGAGCAAGCATATGCCAATCTCATGGCAGGAGCTGAGGAGGCTATGTCCGACAGCCCACGCACGCCAGTGCAAGCCCAGGTCATCCGCAGCCCCGAGCCTGCCACGCAAGCACATGTGACCATCCGGTATCCAGGTGAACCAGATGCCCAAACCAGGGTATCCATGTCTGGACCCGTCCAGTTGCATCACCTCATCCAGGCCGAGCAGCAACTTCGGGGTGAGCAGGTATCCTCGGAAGCCCAGTGCCCTGCAGAGGAGGTCGTGCCCGCAGGCAGCATAGTGCACCTCCAGGTAGGTCAAACATGCAGTGCCCAGCAACTCCTTACGGCTGATAACCCAGTGCTAAGCGAGCCAGTCCACGCCCACGTAGCCCGGCGAGTTGCACCAACCCAGGAGCGTGTCCAACTGCTGAGCACGCAAGGCCACTTGTGGGCCGATGATGAAATGAGGTACCACCGCCTATCCGAGATCGGCCCGGGAATCGACACATTCATGGATCCACTCCTCAGCAGCACCGTGCACATGCCCGGAGGAGTCTCCCGGGTCCGAGATTGGCACCAACCTCAGCCATTTGCAGGTCGCCATCAGTACGTGGTCATCACAGCAGTTAGGATTGAGGGACATTGGATCCCCGTTGTGTGGACCAAGCACGGCTCCGAACTTCAGGCCACCTCGTGCTCAGAGCATTTAGTCGATGCCCAGTTGCTGCGACCCATGCATGAAGCTATCGCCCTGGCGTGGCAATGTGCCAACGTGCAATCCGAACACAGGGATTGGCAGCAATGGCCGCACCCGGCATGTGGGTTCCGTGCAATCTATTGGTTGTGGCTTGCATTCGGACCAACCGACCAGCTTGAGCACATTCAGTATGCAAGCCTCCGTGAGCAGTTTCTGCAGGAAGTCCAGCAAGAGCCAATGTGGCCGCTCCCCACCGTAGGAGCCCTCGGGCGAGCCAATGCCCAAGAAGTCGAGGAAGCCACCACGCTTCTCCGAACCATCTTGCATGCCAGAGGGGTGTTTCCAGACAGAACAGCCGAACGTGCGGCGGCAGCGGTAGCTGCCATTGGTCCCGTGCCCATCAAGCGTGCATGTCAGGAATCCAACCCCTGGCCAGCCCTCAAGCAAGTGGGCAACCAGTGCGTACCCGCATTCAGGTTCATCCTGCCTGACGAACTCCGAAAGCAGATCCAAGATCGTGCGCCGGAAGGAGGACCGGTAGGTCGCAAACGACGGGCAGTCGAAGGCAAAGGCAAGGCCCAGGGTAAAGGCCACCAATGGACCCCCATGCCATATGACCAAGTGCAGGTCAGGTCGGGCGTCTTTGTTGCCGATGGACCAGTGGCCCAACTCACAATGCAGCAAGTTGGACCCCAAGCCAAAGGTGTATTGGTAGTCAACCCCCAGCACGCCCAACCGTACCTGGCAGCCAAACAGCCGGTGTCTCAGGAGGGATTGGCAATGCTTGTTCTGGGGGCTAGCACCCAAGACTATTCCCAGGCCTTTGCCCCGAGTGAAGTCAGGTTTCCAGCCACGTGCGCCGAAACCCAGGAACCAGTGCTCCTCACTGCCGTCATGCTCCAGCTTGGTAAGAAACCAGTTGCCAAGGCTACTCCGACCAACGTTGTACAGCTTGACGTCATCCCAGCCAGCACGCAGCGGGTCCAAGTGTATCGTGATGAAATCACCGTCGAGTGGACGGATTTCCTGCAAAAGCCCATGAAGTACATCATGGAGGTGCTCGTCCCATTGCAGAAGTGCACAGAGGACCCATGCAGTTGTCCCAAGTGGCACGGGGCCCCCGATCAACCTGATCAGGAGGCGCTCCTGGATGTGTGGCGTCGCCAACACACTAAGCTAGGTTATCAGCCAGCCACCCCGGAGCACTCCAGCCTGTACACAGTCAGTGTGCGAGTGCCCGCCAGTGTGCAAGATGTGCTCCAGGGGTACTCGGGAACCCGCGGTGTCTATGTTGAGCCCCGCAGTGACAATGGGCTAGCGCCCAGCATGACGTGTAGTGTAGTGTGGCTCCCACGCGCGGATCTACAAGCAGCCATGCTGCAAAAGCAGACGTGTCAGGCACTCGGGGTTGTCCGCCTGGGCACCAAGTACGGAGTCAGGGTCCGCACCACGGAGGCGGCCAAACAGCATGAAACGTTGCGTCCTGACACGCCTTTCATCGCAGCCGGATCCCGTAAGGTCTACACCATGGGGCCTTGGCCATATGGCACGCAGCGTACTGCCATAGTGAAAGTGCTCAAGCAGATCCAGTGGCAGGCCAAACCAGTCCAGCCCGCAGGCTCCGATCCTAACGTGCCCGGTACATTCTGGCAGCTGCAGGCGGTTGATCCACCACCGATGGAGGTAGTGACCACCCAGCATGGCGAAATGGTCATCGCAGTTGCAGCCAGTCCATCGATCCAGCATGGCATCACTCCCGGTACCCGTGCAGTTCGCCGCAACGAACCCAGTGGAAGTGAAGATCCGTGGTTGCGCAGCGACCCGTGGCAGGCATCCGCCTCCCGGAGGCCCGTTGCCCAAAGCAGCGGTGGGGTTTCATCCGAAGCCTTGCAACGCCTGGAACAGCGCATGCAAGTCAAGCTTGACGCTAAAGTAGCCGAGCTCCATGTGCCTGCACCAGACGGATCCAATGAAGCCGCCAGGCCAGATCCACAGGTCCATAGCCGACTCCAAACCCTCGAACAGCAGCTCCAAGCAGTCCAAGCCCAGCAAGGCCGCATGGAGCAGTGGACCACGGACAATATCAAGCAGCACGGCGCGCAGATCAGCCAGCTTCAGGTCAGTGTTGAAACCCAGTCTGCCCAAATGACCCGGCTGTTCGACCAGCAAATGGAGCGCATCGAGCAGCTGATGGCCAAGCGCAGTCGCAATGAGTGAAGTGCGATGGGGGATACGGATCCGTCTGCCGATCCGTGCCCCCCGGTAGGAGCCCAGGCAGAATCAGTGTGGTGCATAGGGAGTTGCAATCCATCCGGGATTGCGGGGAAGGAGGGAGTCCTCAGCGGGCTCCCTGCCGGAATCTGGGGTATCTGTGAGACCCATCTCACAGTGGAAGGCAGGCGCAAATTCGTCGCCGGCCTTCGTCACATTAATTCTAAATTTGTGTATCAAGTCCACGGGCATGCAGCCCCCAAACGGCCCCACTCAGACATAGCCGGTGCATGGACAGGTGTTGCCGTAGTGTCTGACCAGCCAACAAGGAACATCCCAGCGAGATGGAGCCCCCAGGTGTGGGAAACCGCCCGAGTGGCAACTGCCACAACTCTTGTGCAAAACACTTGGGTTAGCGGGGCCGTAGTGTACGGGTATCCCACAGGCGCCACCCACCCGGAAGCGCTCCAGCAAACGCAAATGCTGCTTGCAGATGTCGGGGAACGCATCGTGCATCAGATGGCGGGCCCACGGTATATCATGGGGGATTTCAACCACCTGCAACATCACCTGCCCATCCTTCAAGAATGGCAGGAGTGTGGGTTCGTTGAAGTACAGGACCTGGCAGCCGCCAGGTGGCATCACGAGGTCCAATCCACTTGTAAAGGTTGCACGCGTAAAGATTTCGTGTACGTTTCTCGTGAATTGGCCTCAGCCATGGTCCAGTTGGACGTGCTGCCAGAC